GAAAACGAAGTCAAACCACTTATATACAACAAAACGACGATACTAGAAGTCACAGAGCCCTAGTCCAAAAACCTTCGAGTAAACAATTGTCTGCCTGTGTTCACCATATAAATAGGCGAAATCTATTCCCCTATTGGGTTGCAATCACAGTTCTTGTGGTTGCTTCCTTATAATCCCACAGACTATTACATGAATTTCAATATCGCTTTTCCGGTCTATTTAGACATCGTGTAATGTATGTTAATATGGAGTGTGAAGCCCTCCGTAACCTCTGAAAAAAGTATCATGCACCAGTGAATATAAATAAATGAAATCAGAATGATAATATAATTTAACGAGTTATTTTTTTAGCCCTTTTGATAGCATCCTAGTTTAGGATGCATGAATGCGTCCCTGAAGCAAATGCTGATAAGAAAATCGACGAAAAAAGTGTTGCAAAAATATTAAAGATCAAGGAAAAAAATTACTCACTTCAAGCTCGACAGCAAGTTTCCACAATGTTACAGAATTAGGGACTTGCTCCAGGGCTCTTTTAAATACTTCTTTCTTTGCTTTCACCTCGACTTCCAGGTTTGCGGCTTTAGCCCACAGTCGAACCGATTGTGGAAGATGTCTGATAGCCTGAGCAACAACGGCACGTGCCTGGTCAGAAGGTACGAGACGAGAAGCCTCAAGCCAAAGATCCTCTGACTTTGGGCACTCTTCGCAGCCCTTCATGATGAGATTTCTGGCAACCTAGTTAAAGTAACAATTAGGAGAATTTAAATAGTTCGCTCTAAATTTAAATAATGATGGGATTTTTATGAATAAATATAAATAGGCTTAAGTTCCGAGGTGTAAAACGTTAATTTACTCATCACATTCTTTGAGCCAAATCAAGGTAAGCCTGAAGTTGGCCCTGAGAATATCTCACACTCTGGTATTTGCAGTGTCACGTGATATACGAAGGTTCTGAACGGTTTCATCTAAGTAGAAGAACGGCGAGACGAGTGCTTCTTCGCACAAATCCACAATCATAACCCCAAGGAAATTCTTACGTGATTATAGATGAAATTCATTTACGAATCTATCGTACTCAACTTTTCAAACAAAATAAAAAGTTTGAAAATATGAATTTAGTAGGAAATACAGCCTTTCTTAATATCCGATTCTTAACCTGACAATTTATTAGAAATTATCTGCCTTGGTCTAATCGACTTAAAAGCTGGAATGTGGCGTCGAATAACTTTTGACTATAATTTAACTAGATTGCATAAATATTATGAATGTTTCGATGCTAACACAAGATCTTGAATAAAACTATATTCACAATAGGGCACATGAGGTGATAGAAAGATAGTTTAATTTTCCCACGATAATAAGTCCTAAAATACTATAGAATTTCATTTAACCTTGTATACAAAAAGATGTTCCCATCCAGGGTGAAATTTTAAAAAAATTCGACCTCGCTGGGGCCTGTCAGAACTCTTAGTGGGAAATGAACCCAAGTAGTGTATCATATACTTTCGAAATTCAATGGCAGCGTAAGACATTCCATATTATTGTAAAAAAACTCAATTATCATCCCATCACCACCTTATGCGATCTATAGTGAATGATGTTCTTATTAGACTCTGTGAAATGCTTATTACGAGAGTTAGCAAGCATCTCACTGGAAATTCAAATCGAGTGCAAAAAATCTAACTACTTTTTATTAGATGTAAGTATACTTAAAAGCTAAGTAAATCTTGAATAAGAATTTTAAATATTCCGGGACGTTTAAATTGAATCAATGGATGATAGTTGAATTTCCCGCAATGGATAAGCCACACAATAAATCGAATTTCCTTCAGCCAAGCCGTTGAAAAGGGTTTCTTATCCAAGGTGGACTGTCGTTTCGGGCTAATGTAGGTCTTATCCACACCACCAAATAAATCATTAACTAGGTCTTGCACATAACCCTCTAACATGCAGCAACAAGTAACAGTGGATCAAAGACAAGATGCGACTTTTAAGGCAATCCAAACCTCTCAAAAAGTCAATATAGATTATAAATGTGGATAATGCAAACTTGTATTTGTCAATACAAACGACAAAGTACATTTGGATTGATTATTTCTCGAGTCACAAATTTTTGAATATGGACTTTAGTTTCAAAACATGATCACATCAAAAATAAGAAGCGCCGTCGAATCTAATGACATATACACGTTTGCCTCATCGATAATTCCATTATGAATGTGATTTGGTAGAGATCAGGAAATTTTGGCCTACAATTCCTATCTAACTTACCGCGAAATTTAGTAATCCCACCTATTCTAGCCATAAACACGACTAAGCCTAGAGTTTGGGATAAAATTTATAGATAAGAACAAAATATTAACTGGGTTGACCTCGTTGTCGCAACTTGGTCTTGTTGCCTGGGGGACTTGGTAGAACGCACCTAGGCCCTGACAAAAAGATCGAGTTGAGACGAGGTAAACCCACTTCTATAAATCGAAAGGAGACTGCGATGATATCAGAGGTCACACCATCTTATTCTTCATATCTTCATAATATGAACTGCTCAAAATTTAATCATTTCCTAAAATGATTGAAACTGCATAAATTCTTACTTATTATGACATAAAGATAAGTGCCTGATGATAAGTTAGGTTAAGTGGCTGCGGACGACATGTGAAGTGGCTACAGATGGAAAGTGAAATGAGAGCAATTGAAACCGAACCGCTGCATCCTCCTCTAAAACACTTATGCCTTTGATCGTGCAATGTTACCACATGTGATGGCAACCCATTGCATAGGTGTTGTGTTAGTGCATTGCTCTTGAAATGAGTGTGATGTCACAACCAAATTCTAACCCAATCAAGCCTCCTCCTCTTGATCGGTGGTACTTCTCGTTTCCCTCCCCTCTATATCTCTCTAAACCTATCCAACAGACACAAGTCGTTTCCGCTTAACTTCCTATACTCATTCCTCCTATTCATGGTGTTGGCTGGTTTATTGATTTCTATCGCCGCCCTAATCCGTCGCTTACTGATATAGTCTCCATATCCAGCTAAGCGTTTGGCATTAGACCAATCAATCTGGTGTCATGTTCGAGCCATTTGTTCGACCAATTACGATTTTTCGGCCCACATTTCATTGCAGGCTGTTTTGTGTTCAGATAACCTCTTATGAATGGGTCTACAAGTCTCTCCCAAAAGCACTACCACATGAACACAAAATCTTGTAATAATCCGATATGGAGAGCGGCTCAGAGTATTCTCAAAAAGAAGGCAATATCGAGGACAGTGTTATTTTCTTATAGAAGTGGGTTGACCTCGTCGCAACTTGGTCTCGTGTTCAGGGAGACTATGTAGAACGCACCGAGTCCGAAGTCGTCTGCCATAGTA